CCCGTTCCCCGTTCCCGTTCCCCGTTCCCGTCCCCGTTCCCGTTCCCCGTTCCCGTTCCCCGTTCCCGTTCCCGCCCGCAGCGCCCCCTGCCGTCAGGATGGGGAGGGAAGGCCGGCGCGCGCCGCCGCGCGCGAGGCTGCGCGTGCGCCAGCGCCGGGAGCGCGCGGGGCGCCGCGCGCAGCCGCGCGCCTGCGGCAGCGGGGGCGCGCGCGTTGCCGGGCGACGGCGGCCGGGCGGCGGCGGCGGCGCGGGCCCGGTGCGGCGCGGGCGGCGATGAGGCGGCGGCAGCGGCCCCCGCGCTCCCGTCGGCGCTGAACTCCGCGCCCGCACTTCCCCCATCCCTTCCCCATCCCGCCCCGTCCTGGCTCTGCTCCTCCACGCCCCCTCATCTCCCCTCGCTCCGGCCAGCCCTTCCCCCTCCATGCGGCGGGAGCGGCCGGAGTGGGGCCCGTGCCGCGGCCGCGCCGAGCCCCGCCGTCCTTCACCTCTTCGCCGCCAGATCCCGCAGGGAGCCGCGGAGGGTGTCCGTAGCGACAGCAGCGGGTGAGGCCCCGGCCGGGGAGGGGGTGCCGAGGGCGGCTCGGAGCGGGGGAGCGGCGGCGGAGCCCGGCGGAGCGCTCCCCTCCCCCGGGGTCCGCGCGGCGGGGGGAGCGGGGCTGCGGGGCGCCCCCTGCCGCTCGTCGGCCGCGCTCCGGGCCCGGCGGCGGCGCGGCCTTGGGCCGCCGTGCGACCGCGTCCGCTACCGGGCACGGCGCGGGGAGCGCCCGCCGCCGGCCGCGGTGCTCCCGCCGCCGGCCCGCGGTGCTCCCGCCGCCGGCCGCGGTGCTCCCGCCGCCGGCCCGCGGTGCTGCCGCCGCCGGCCGCGGTGCTCCCGCCGCCGGCCCGCGGTGCTCCCGCCGCCGGCCCGCGGTGCTCCCGCCGCCGGCCCGCGGTGCTCCCGCCGCCGGCCCGCGGTGCTCCCGCCGCCGGCCCACGGTGCTCCCGCCGCTGCCCGGGGTGCTCCCGCCGCTGCCCGGGGGTCCCCGGGGGTCCCGGTGCCGCCCTTGGCGCAGCGGGAGCGGCGGCCGCCTGGCCCTCCCGCTGCCCGTGCCGCTGCCGCCCGCCCCGCAGGAGCCGCGGGCTGGGCGAGCGGACGCGAGGCCTTGGCGGGGACCCGCGGAGCGTGCTCGGGGCCCGCGGCTGCCGTGGCGGGGCGGCTGAAGCGGCCTGGGCACTGGGGTACGGAGCCGGGGAATTCCCCGTCATTCAG